TAAAAGCAGTCTGAGTTACTACTGGGGGGGGGGGGGGGGGGGCTTTTAGAGGAGAGAGTTGTATCAAGGCAGAGGAGGCCTGCTGAGAGCATAGGTGGTGAAAAAGGCTAGTTAGAGCCTCGGTTCATTTGTGTGTGAAGGGTGAGATTCCAACGCATCGGGGCCCCAAAGCTGAGGAAAGGATCACAACACAGAGAGGAACAGGTTTGGCTAACTCCTGTTATACAACAAGTGTTTAACACTACTAACCTTCTGTCTGCATGCTACTATAACTTTTGTGTGGTTACTCTCTGGTGACACTTCATCTTTGGCACGTGCAAGGGTCACTTTAAGTAGGGCTACAGTTCGGTCACCTCTGCTCTGATGCGAACAAAATTTTGAGCAAATGAAATCCAACCAGGAGAACATCACGTTCGTAAATATGAAGAAAATCAGTTCACTTGTTTGAGGAATATTAAGTTGTTAAAAATTTTAATCAAATTGGGTAGAACACAAAACTTGACATCTTATAAGCATTCGGCTGCAGGGATGTGATCGCAGAGCTGGTAGTAACGGAGTACAAGTACTCCGGTACTTGTACTTACGTTACAATTTTCGGTAGTTTTACTGTACTCCGGTACATTTTGAGAATCAGTACTTTTACTGTACTCCGATACTTTTTATAAAAGTACTTTTGAGTACTTTTCAAGTACATTTTGAGTACTTTTGAAGCTTAATGAAAGAATAAGTGCCGACATTTCCGATCATAATTTACGGAACAAACACCCGGGCGGGCACAGCCGATCAACCAAGAGTTAAAAGTTGAGATTAAAGAACTGCCCGTCGCGTCAAAGATCAGCCACTCTTGTGAAAGTGATCACATGTGCTGTAAAACTCCATGAAACGGTACAATGATCCCCAGACGGGATCACACCGAGGTGTGAACAGACCGATGGGCGTTTCTTTTCCCCAAACATCGCACTCGCATCTGAGCTCGCCACCTGAACTTTCATCCCTCGCTGGGTGGGTTGGGCCTACAAGTTCGCCCCAGGCAGGATCACATCGAACTGTGAACTCTTCCCTGACCATTGAAGTTGAAGGCAGTTTTTCTCTATTCCCGAAATTGCGAGACAGCCTGAATTTTAATTGGTGTGGTCACAGCGTAATGGTACGTAACGACAAAGGCGGGGGGACTCAATCAGAGATGGAAGGCTACAATTTTTGGACAGGTAAAGGGGAGGGGCAACTGGATAAACGTAGATAAAGATCTCGAGACGATATGCTAATGAGTGTACGGTATAATATTATGGCTTGCCTCATGCCACCATGCTACTGTGATTGGTCATCAAGGATGACCACTCTTTGCTCGCCATATGTCATAAACCTACCCAGGGGTCACGTCAGTTCTTGGGTCACTGTAGATTCTTCCTTAGCTTCGTCGGGCTAAGATCCCATATTTCCCTTGCTCCCGAGCACTGGGATCTTAGGCGGAGACTACTGTAGTAGAGATTTTTGGTTACACTACACTTACTAGACTCTAGGAAATTACATGTAGGCATATTTTGGTTTGCCGTGGGCGCCGTGGACTACACAGTGTGACCAAACTATGTCTAACCACTATTATAATCAGTTGAAACTGAAATCGAGTTCTCAATGTATATAAATCTAACAATTTTTTAGGCTACCTAAATTTCTTTTTTCCTTTTTTTTAGTGGTTTGTGCTTAAGACTACCTTGATTCCTTGAGGATTTGTTAAAGAATTCAAAGCACTTTTTTTTTGCTGGCCATTTTCATCAATTTTTTATTTTCTTAAGTCAACTTTGTCTCTACATTTTCCAATTTTGATACTTTTCCTACTTTCCGACCCCTAGGACTGACTTACATTAGATCATATTGTCTTGCTCAAACAAATTCTATTCATAATATCACTTACTCACTAGTTGCGTCTGTTTGTTTGCTGGGGTTTTTTTTTCAATTTCACGGACAATTTCCACCTACGTTCAGTGCGTATATTCAAATGCTTTGTATACTGTTTACATTATTAGTAATAAATGGCCGAATTTGTCAAATATACTAGATATGTTATTCAATATGATGTTTTGCATTTTGAAATGTTTTAGCATATTAGCAGAAAGTACTCAAAATGTACTCATAAGTACTTTTTTAAAAAGTACTTGTACTCAAGTACATTTTACAGGAAAGTACTTTTACTGTACTTAAGTACATATTTTAGATTGTACTTAAATTTGTACTTAAGTACCTTTTTAAAAGTACTTTAACAGCTCTGTGTGATCGGCCTTTTCTAGTTTCAGGACTGGGACTACTAGAACGGCAAAACCGTGACAGAACAGGATAGACATAAACGGAAGGAGCTTGTTTGTGGCCTATACCCTGCCAGGGGTGAAAGGCATTGATTGATTGAATTCTAAGCGAAAAATGTATTGTAATATCACGGGATTGGGAGGGGGGGGGGGGTTAAGAGACAAACGTAAGAAAAGTGTAAGAAGGGGGGGGGGGGAGCAAAAAGTCCCCAAAAAGGTGTAAGATTATAATATTTGAACAGTCCCGATGGAGAAGGCGTTATGTTGTTAAGCAGGCCTGGTTCCAGTGGGTTGGTTGTCAAATGCATGATTGTAAGACAAGTTTTGTAAATAAAATGCCTTATAAACCGGAAATTTGCAAACGAATCGTTTCCGCATTTCCCGTCCTTGAACCCCTTCAATTTTTTTGTTTGTGGAGTTTGTTTGTTTGATTTGTTGGTTTTTGAAACAGGTTCTCGACTGACTCTACGCAACAATCCACATACAATTGAGCAGTTGATCGTCAATGTTAATAAATAGGAGGTCAAAGAGTCCACCCAGAAATATTCCACAGGGCTATTCAAAATTTTTGTTTGTGTTAGACACGTTTACGGCACTTTCAACACAATTAGTTCATAGGAACCATTCACAAATGACGTCAGCTAAAATTTGGCCCAGAATGCCCCCCCCCCCGTGACGTCAACCAAAATGTACATGTAGACCTACATTTAAATAGAACCTGTACAAAATGTATTTTGTATTTACATCTTTGATCTGTATTTTTTAGTTTTTTTTATATATTAAAAAAAATGTTTATTAAAGAATACAACAAAGAAACACCCGAACGGTCAAATTATTTATTAACATCAATCAAAATAATTAAAACAGAATAGATATCACAGCTTTTAAAATAAGCAGAGCAAAGAGATTGGAGTATCATCTCAGCTTGGAAATATCAAATAAGTCAGAACAAAAATGAATATTAATTATGCATGGAATGCATTATTAGACAAAATGAAAATGAACGATTTGAAAAAAAAATTAAGTTATCTTTCAAAATTTTGAGTTGAGTTGAAAAAAACAATCTTTATAAACAAATTGTAATTAGATACCGGTGTAAGAAAATAAAAGTAAACGAATGAATTTATTTTGAAAATCACGGCCAGGAAAAACGTCCTAGAATTTAATACTTTCAACATGTGATGCTTGTAAACGTTGCTTTAATAATATAGTATCACACAAATCACTGAATATTTGAATATATTACACATACATTTTTGCCTAAGGCTCTAAATAAACAGGATGCCAAGAAAATGTGGTCTACAATATTTTTTCTTCCTTTCCTTTCCTTTTTTAACCCCCAACCTTTTAGAGCATCGTGGTTGACGTCAACTTTTTACTGACCCCCCCCCCCCCCTGAGCTGACGTTGTTTGTGGACGATCCCTTATATAAGTGCCAAAGATTAGAGGTGTTACAAGAGCATCAAATATATAAACGGAGTAAAGATAAAGACGATAGGTTGTTTGATAGGAAAGAAAGAGCAAACCACACCACAGCACCCGCCAAAAGTCCACTCAAAATTCTCAGTGGCTTGTAGGATTTGTGTGGAGAGTACTTGGAGCGTACAATTTGAACAACGACCACCTTCGCTGAGTTTATTTGGAATGGCAAATTTTGTACATTTTTTGTTGTTCAATAAACAGATCGTCATTTTATCAAATAAAACAACGTTGAGTTTTAAGAAGTTGCAAAGTTTTACTTTTCATTCAATATCACTACATTCTATTTGATATTATCCTTTCCATTGTATGTTACGTTTTGGCGTTTTGTTAACACCTCTAGTCTTCGGCTCTAATATAACCGAATTCAGTAGTGTTGCAAGTGCCGTAAAACTCTTGCTAAAACTAAAATAGTCTAACACTAACATGTCGTGTTCAGAAGTCGACTTAGAAGATTAGTTCGCAGAAAGTTGAATTGTTTTTATCAAATGTGTCAGAACTCGGTGTCTTGTCCCCCCCAACAGAAAAAGGCAGAAGCCGAACCTCTTTACTTTTAAAAGAAAGTTTATTTTCATTTCCCTTCACTTTGTCTCTTTCTCATTTGTTGACACCACGTTGATTTGTCATTTAACTGTGAAGAATATAAGTACATTACATACTATTTATATTGCTGTTTCTCTCTTATTTTTCCCTCTTTGTAGTGTTTTAATTTGTTGGTGTGTCAATTATTTTCTTGTTTTTGTTCTGATGTGTTGTTTTTCTATTTTTTGTGCTTATATAGCGTAATGTAATTTAATTTGATGTTGTTCCCAGTTTTAAAAGATATAAATGTGTTATGTTAGAGCGTGTCTCCACCAAAACCGAATACTGACACTGGCAGGCCCCTTGTGTGTGATTCCATAATTTACATGCAGTATCCTGTACTTTTTCTTGAATAACACACGTTTAGGGTTAAAACAGCAAATCTTCGGATAGGTTGACACACGCCCTTATTTGTTCATTTTTGTGCCGTTCTAATTTTGATTTCATTCAGTGGGTGATTGGCGGGTGCTCTGGTGTGGTTTGCTTCTTCTTTTCTATCAAACATCTATCGTCTTTATCTCCCCTTTTTCTTTTTTTATGTTTGTTACACACTTGTAACACCTCTGGTCTTCTGGCTCTCATATGACCTTATGCAGTTGCGAGCTCCGTAAAACCTCTACTAAAACTAAACTGATTTCATTCTGTTGTGAAACCTTTATTTTTCACGGTTTTACACTCTGTGTGGCTACAAATGATAGTCTGGATGCTTAAAACAGAGCACAAAAAATTATAGTGCTTTAGATTAAGTTGCCTCTATTAACATATTGCTATCTATTTCGTCGTCACAGAGAGTTGAAAGCCTAAAAATTAATGCCATTTTTTGGTGGCAATTTTTGGCTACTTTTGAACAACAAAAAAGGCAACAAACGCAGATGCTAGCAATATGTACTTTCTTCCGTCTCGTTCCACCTTTGTCCATTCCATCTCCCAGTCCCAGCGTCTGCGCTCTTGCCACAGGTCGCTAGACTCAACTTCCAGAATGGTCTGCCTGTGCCTAGTAGAGTGCGAACCCATGAAAATTAAACCAGAAAAAACAAAACAAAACAAAACAGAAAAGTAACAGTTCTGTGCACTCTCTCCCGCTTGACCCACATAATTAGTGCAAGTTCTTTCGGGCTGTTTTCACGGGCGGCACAAGAAGGTGTTGAGATTCTTTCAATGCGGTGGAAACGAGAATCGTATGGGCGCCCTCCTTCTCCGAGCATGCACTGTCAGCACTTCCCGCAAAGCCTACCGGGCCATCTGCGCATGTCCCTGAAGACGAAACTTCTAACGCATTGACTTTAGTGGTGTCCGTCCCTGTAGCCATAATTGCGTTGCTTGCAGCAGTGTCTGTCCCAGCAGCTCTCGTCTTCGTGTCCGTACTAGTAGCCTTTAACTCGGGAGACTGATTTTCAACCTCCGACGGGTTCGCTTTCAATTTCAATAATATGAAGAGACTCTTTAGGCTGAACCGTGTCTGTTTCTTTGCAGTTTCGGTATCTGTTTAAAATGAAAAAGAAAAGTAAGTTGTAGTTGTTGTGTTTAAAAAAAACCCAACAATTTGCCGTATTTGTAGGGTTCAGTGAAACTCGGATTTAACGAAGTCGTCCGGCCTGACCTTCAATTTCGTTGAATCTGAGTTTTCGTTATCGCAGACAGGTGTTTGTGAAGATAATTACAGGCACCGAGTAAGTAATGTATAACGGGAAGTAACAAGTGGTACCCTGAAATGTCTGGGTTTTTTTCCCTTTTTGACTTCCTCAATCAAAAGTAGTTTGGTTTCATTTAGAAGCTTTTTTGTTTCTTTAACTTAAATGCCATACCGAAGAAATGCTGGAAAATTCCAGGAAAATACACCGAACCCTACTAAGCACACACTGGGCAAAAGGGCTGATTCCTTCAAATGCACACCTGTGTCATCTATCATCTATGACGTAATATTTGCTGAACAAATTGTGTTGCTATGTAGCGTAGTGCCTTGCATACGGCAATGTTGGATTCTGCAGACAAACGCGCAATTCATTACGTAGATCTATGTCAATACTAGCTTATCATAGTAATATGGATCCGTATAATTATGGCCGCCCGTCCACCCTGACACACGCTAAGACACACATGGTATGTTGTTATGAAAGCAGGCCGCTGATTGGCCGCATAAGATGCAAACAACAGACTAAGCGAATAATGGTTTACGATGCATGTGCCATAGATGGTTTCCAAGAAAGGATAAGTTTCGTTGAGGAGGGAAAATGAGCGAAGCTGCGTCAGAAGGGGCTGTTCACCCTGCAAGCGACTTCGCTGAATCCGAGCTTGCTCATTAATTTGT